CGGCTAACGATATTGAGAGGCCTCCACAGAACCGGTTTACCATCGAAATAAAAAAAACTCATGTGGAGCGTGCATTATTGGTATGTGATTGCTTTCATGATTTACATTGTTCTTTCATAATAAAAAATATGTTATGTTATCTGATTTAATATTTTATTTTTTTTGCTTTTTTTTTTTTGTTGTGAAGCCGATACCAATGCAGTTTTGGGACGCACATATTGAGGGACAGGTTCCAAAGTTAGACGGTGCAGTGCTTATGTTCAATGGGGACACCTATTCGATGCTTATAGATCAATCGCATGGTAAGAGGCGACTCAAAGATGGCGATATGCGTCAATTCTTTGAAGACAATGCCATTGTGGAGGATTCGGAGTGGGTGTTTACATTGATTCCGTTTAGGTATCCCCGGTTTAGAGTGGTCAAAATTGATGTGTAGCATGTATTTGAACGACAAACATTTTAACACTTTTTGTTTCATTATTATTGTCTTTGATGTGACGTTATGTAGGAATTGAATGTTAACAGTTTTTCAAGTTTATTGTGACAATTTATATGCTTTGTATCTTAATGTGAATGAAACATTACGGGTACTTGTACCGAAACAATGGAACAAACCATCAAACATTACAAAGATCTGCTCAATGGACCAAAGCACGGGTACATCTTGTGAACACCAAAACAATAAGCAACATCTTCATATAACAAACAACCATGAACATGATTGATTAATTATACGGGAACAACACAGAAACAATAAGCAACATAGTAAAGAACCCTTAAACAAACAACCAAACACAACTAACATAATGATACACCACCGAAACAAGAACAAACATAGAAGGGAAATATATAGTGACAAAACTAATTCCACGGCCAATCATGCGCGTAGTCCATCGGAGTGGCGGAACAAGCAGTAGATGCAGAATTTTCTTCCGGTTCATGTGCCCCGTGAGAGGAGATGTCGTTTCTGGGCTGATTCACAGAGCCATCAGTTGAGCCGGTTTGACTGTGTATGGATTGCTTCTTTTTTGGGCCCTTTGAACTGCTGCCCATATAAAAGGCCGGACGCGGTGGTTGTTTCTTAGCTCTCGGAGGGATGTCAGTTCGCACGGGGTAGGGAACTAACCTACTCGGTGGGAGACGGTTTGGAGTGTACTCCTCCACATCGATAACTTCAACACCTTTGCCACGGCCCTTACTGCCCTTCTTCTTGCCTTCGTCGTCGCTGTCAGAAATGATACACCACTGTAAAGGATTTACGTACGGTGGCTCCTCGTGAAATAACTCCACAAGTTTGTTATGATGTGGATCACCTTCCGTCATGTACGCCAGGGAAAAATCATCCCACTACGGGAAAAAATAAATATAATTTACTTTGCAACTCTAGTGTTGGTGTAACAAATGAAAACGCATTTATTTTCGACAGAACTTACCCTTAGCATTCCATCCCAAGTGCTGCCCGAAGCATGATACTTGTTCTGCCCGGCGTCGTATTCAACACCCACCTTGTCTTTGAGAGCCGTGAAAACCTCATGCCGTTTCTCCAAAACTCCAACGCGTGTTCCGATGTACTCCATCGTCAAACTCTTCTTAAACCACGCATTGAATACTCGCGTAGCACCAAGTATGGACTCAGTATTATCTGCATTAGGAACAAAGATACCACATAGCTTATCTTCAAGTAAGTAGTCGATAAGAAAGTCATCAAACTTTGGTGTCCAATTTAGGTCATACAGATAATCTGCCTGCACTAAACCAAAATCAGGAGCCATCGCAATTTTATGAAGTAGAAAATTTTAAAGTTTTAATAGAAGTTCAGAAATATCACACTACTTCTTTATACGGTTGTGGAATACATGGTCTGTCTTATGGTGTTTAAATAGCAAAAATCGAAAGGCACCAATATCAATCATGCATTCAAGAGTGTAAGGCAAGATTTTTGGTCTTCATGTCAGTGTTGTCTAATCAATTCGGCTTTGCAGAATTAGCTTCAAGCTACCTCTAGTCATGTGTAGTGACTTGTCAAAGTCTGTCCCTTCGAATCTGATTTTTTTAACCAAAAGGATGACGAGTCAATGCGATTTATGGTCTTTTAAGTGATGTGCGCATGCTCTTTCAATAGTACCAATGATGCAAATAAATTTAATGCCACAGGACCAATAATGAATGTAATTTATTTAAATTGGGGAAGATGATAAGGACCTATCAGCTCCAGCTATGGAGAAAAAGCTGAAACCTATCCTTAGACCTGTAATATCGTGACATGCTATTTCAATAAAAGAAATAATTGTTTTCAAGTTTACAAGATGTAACATATCTTCTTGAGGGTGCCAAATTACATATAATGTTGAACATGGTCGTGAAGTCCTTTATTATGACCTGTCAACTCAGCATTAAAAAAAAGCAAGCTTCAGCCTACATCTAGACCTGCCACCATGACCTGTCATAGCACGTCATATGAAAACACATAATTGGCATAGAAATCACAGTGCAATGTTAACCCAACTAATGCTTAAATGCAATGACCAAAATATAAATCATAGTACAGTTGTTTAAAAAACATTTTATGTTTTTCTAAACCAAAATAGAATACAATTCAACATCGTCATGTTAATTCTACACAGCCTTACTTAAAGAAACAAAAGAGTGTAACAACAAAAACGATGAACGAAAAGGTACATTTCATGAATGTGACCTTCTTCTCCAACTTTCGAGCTTGACGTACAACATCATCAAGTCTCGACTGTAGTTCAACGTTTTCTGTTGCTGCAATCTCCAAATCAGTCATCATCCGATTCTTCGCATCTTCAAATGCTTTGATTTCGGTGGCTTTTAACTCCAACCTCTCCGATAGCAATTTCTCCATTTCATTTTTGCACATAAGCTGCTCTTGCAACCTATCCTTTTCAGCCTTCAGCTTCTTAAAACAACCCTTTTGGAACGACGGCAACTCGGGATCAATCCACTCAAAGAGGCGACAAGGCAGATCGGGCTGTGAACAATGATAATAAATCTGAGGCAAAACTTCTTGTACGGATTAAAAACCACTACTTGAAAACATATTAAACTTGCTTGTGAACTATAAAAAGTGTACCTTCAGGCGAGGACATTTAAAGAACCTTCGGGCTGGGTTTTCAGGGGTCATTGATGTCAACACATCGGCTTCTTCGTCATGTCCACACAGCCTAACCCCAAACGGGGCCCTGTTATATCGATTGGTTGAACTCGTGTGAGAACTATTTGACATGTTGTTTGCCTGAAGAAGAGAATAAGATAATAATGGTCAAGGCACAACTAATCCACATGGGTCAGTTTGAATTATTTGTTTATAGGCCACAATACTGAACATGATAAATATGATGTTACCAACTGATGAACACATCACCAACAGCCTGTACTTGTATTTCTGCTCATTCTCGTAAAGCGGTTGATTCAACACGAATGCCGCAATAAATAACTTGAAGTTAGCAGCAAAAAGAGGGTAAGAACTAATACATAGTTCACATATGCAATGTACCCATGTCAAACACACAGTGAAGGCCTTTCGATTTTAATAATTCTTGAACTACCTAGCTTCAGTTCACTTTTCTAAAATCAATTACACATCCTTGTTCAAAATAAAGCCACATTTCAACTTCAAAAAATAAGCTTCTAAACCATCCAATCTGACAACACAAGCAAATGCAGATTTCATGACATTTCACAGAAAATTGATATTACACAGCCAAGAAAGCACACTATGGAGAACTAAGCAGAATCACAATATGTCACAACCCACAGGCATCCTTCTAATTTTGTATTTCAGCCACTGTACCACCTGAGTCACAACTTAAACCAATCCGTTGTATTCATCCCCCATAATGCACAGTTACAAACATTAAACACATGAAAAAGACTACGAAACAACATAGCTTCAGGTTCTTGAGCTTTGAACGGGGTAAAGGATGATTTATTATCCACTGGGCAACATATGACAATGAAGTCGATCAAAGACATAAAAATTCAAAACACTCAAAGCACAAAAAATTCAAAACACTCAAAGCCCCAATGAAGTCGATCAAACAGATATGTAAGCCCACCGTACAATATATTGTTCATAACACGAAAAATTCAAAACACTCAAAGCACAAAGATGGAATATCGCATATCCGATTTGTTTGAACCTTAATCAAACCCGTACAATATGTTGCGCATAGCACAAAGAATTCAAAACACTCAAAGCACAAAGATGGGGTTTCGCATATCCGTTTTGTATGAATCTTAACCAAGTAGCAGTACAATATGTTGGTCATAGCACAAAGATTTTCAATTTCACGAAGAATAGACGAAAATCGAAAGTCACAGGTTACTAGGTCATTAATTGCCGGAAAATTGTCGTACCTCTCACTGCACTGCCGAATTGAAGGACGTCGTCGACGGTCGTAGCTATCGGGGGGACGTCGTCGACGGTCGAATTGAAGGAGAAGCGGCTCGTCGGCGGGAGTGGAGGTTGTCTTCTCGTCGGTCGGTATTGGCTCGTTAGGGCAAAATGTGTTAAAGATGTTCAATGGGGCAGAAAACGATTTTTGAAGAGAAGGGCAATCTAGGAAGTGCTTGCAATATCATCTCAGTTAATCCATGGAAGTAAACGGGGGACTCATTTAATCAAATTCCATCCCGAAAAGTAAACAAGGGACTAAAAACTGACATGGCAAGTGGACTTGACTAATTTGTCTTATCCCATCCTGCAAAGTAAACGCCCCCTTGTTCTATTAGTACTATTTAATCTCCCGACTTGTAAACATTTGTTATTTGAATGAAATCTATCGCTTTACANAAAATAAATAAATAAATAGCAAGAAAACAAACGGAACAATTAATTAATTTATTATTTACATTAGAACATTATTCACTATTACCATTTTCCTTACTAGTCTTACTTTTTCGTTTAATTTTACATTATATTATCGTTTTCTTTACATCAAACTTTTATTAAATTATTTGGTCATCTTTCCTTTCCCCTTGTTGCAATTTTATTATTGACTAGGACTTCATTTAAAGATAAGGTTAACAAAAGATTGGTGCTCATTATCAGTGTACTCAAATGGCAAAATTATCTTGGTAACTGGATAATGGCGAAGGCAAGCCGTAGGAGAAATTACCAAATCCAGAAATAAAGCACATCATACAATTACAAGCCCAGGAACAACGTTCGGACAAAGCTCTTCTACTGGTCAGAGGAAACCCCTAACATGATTTAGGTGAAAAACGGATTAAACAAATCACACGCTACTCAGTCGCCACCAGGGGCTTCTTAGCAACAAAGAAATACATTGACGTGAAAATCTCTTTCCTGTAAAAACCAAAAAGGGGGAAAAAAAAAAAATCAACATTGCAGCTAATGTCAGGCATCACGTATAAAAAGTGATGAACAATGGATAAGATACGCCACTAATTTTGTATGTTTCAACCGTCCGACCAAAATTTGAGCCTTTTCATTTCATCCATTTGAGTGATTCAAAACAGATACAAATGAAAAAGAAAGCTTAATGAATATATAAAAGAAGCAAATAAATAAACAACACTTACTTTGCTCCAGCAACAAGTCCTTCTGCAGCTTTCTCTAAGAAAGCTTGAACTCTTTGACTTCCTTTAGGGGCAACTCCAAGTTTCTCTAAAACTATCACCTGAAATGAAATGCAAACCAAGCTCTATATTGAACACGAGAATAAAAAGCAGCAAAAAAACAACAAATAACATATAAACAAGATGAGATGAATTAATGTACCAAATCTTACCATGTTTCTGGTAAAAAAACGTCCGAGTGCGGTCAAACGGAAACTGCTAATCGAGAAGTGACTTGTATCTATAGGCAGATACCAAGGGACAGGTGAGTTCTTTGCCAGATCCTTTTCCCAAACAACCTTAGATGAGTAGAATCATCAGATTATCTTTACTTTATAAATTATCCGCAAAACCCGCTTCGAATAAATAATTGAAAATTTCTCTACTCACTTCAAAACCAGCCTTTTTAAGAGCGTCGAGACACTGGTGAGTCAGTCTAATATCAGGAAGACCATTACCGAGTTCGATTTCAGCCTGCCAGCCAAAGGGAATTTTTTTTACATATCAAGCTAGATTACTGCGTGAAAACACAAATTCAAAAGTATGTTTCAAATTATGGCGAGATTACCTTTATCTGCTGGTGTTCTTTGTTATTAGGGTCATATGAATCGGTCATGCACCACTCGTATGCAGCAAAACATTGGCCCGGTTTAAGTACCCTATATATTTCCTTGTAGCATCCCACCTGTAGCAACAGAAAGATATAGAACTAGATTAAAAATAAATAAATAAATAAAGCTCAACTATGTCAATAATGAATTTTGTATTTGATTTGCATACTGGATCCGGGGCATGGCAGGTGGCTTCAATTGCATAAACTGCATCAAAGTAATTGTCAGGGAAAGGCATCTTCATGAAATCAGCCTGTATAGTTACAACAAATTAATAAACTGGAAGATCATATCAGATTAAATAAAAAAATGCAATGTCAGACTTTACTAACCTTAACGAAGTCACAAGTGCGGTCCACTCCAGCGATCCGATTTAGCACCTGCACCATCCACATTTTGATAATTTATTAAAAAAAAAAAGAAAAAAGGAAGAAGAATGAAGAAAACACCGAAAACTCGAGGTAATGCCATATTGATTAGGACATGAAAAGATGAGATTGGAAATGAATATGAAACTGAAGCTAGTCTGATGAATGATGACAGAATATCAGGGTAAAGAGAGATAAATTTCATTTTCAAACTACTTAAAAACAAACATAGATATACCTTTCCCCTAGATATCTGGTACTCATTGTTGTTCAGACCCGTGACCGATGTTTTACTGCATAAAAGTATCAGAATTGAATTATAATTGACTGCCAATATAATAATCTTCATATCATGTTTCTTAAATTTCGCCAAGTTTAATCCCATTTAACTGAAATAAGTAGCAAGAACAACCATGCACCGAACAAGAAAAAGAATGCTACCAAGATTTAATTGTGACCATAGAGATGGAAACTAAAAGACTAGATTCTTATATCACCTGAATCGAGCAATTTCTCTTAAGGGTCCGCCAATCCCACATCCTACATCCAAGACCTACCAACATGGATTAAAGTTCATCATGCACTCAAACATAAAACTTCCTAAAAGTCAAAGCAAAAATAAGGAAGATCATGATACCTTTAGTCCTGGTTTTAAGCACAGCTGTAAGGCCAGGAAGTGCTCGTGCCGCTTAATGCTCTCCTGAAGAGACTCACCTTTCCATCTGGGCATAGTACATTGCCCACATTTAGTTTATTGCAACAAGCTCCAAAATGAAGAATCTAGAAGATTGTATTAGGACAAAAATAATTATAACTATGATACTAACTTGATTCTCACAACATTTTTCCTTGAGTATAATGGAGCTATCAAGAAAGGAAGTCATATTGGCTCTAAATTAATGACCAATTGAATTGAAGACTTATGTGTACAATTCTTACTTTTTACACACAAACAATCACAGATAAAATGAATTTGGAAGGTTTAGGGTGTGATTGGATATAGATTTGATTGAGTTTTTATTGTTTTTTTTTTTGGTTAACCATAGTTAATTTTGAAAAAGTTGTTGTTCGGTTTGAGTGGGATTTTGAGTTTGTATTAAAATAATATTTAAAATAAAATGATTAAAGTTGATTTGATGTAAAAGTAGGAAAAATGGATTTGAAGCGATAGGTAATTAAAATTATGTGAGTGAATGAATAGTAAATTAAAGTTGATGTGATGTGTAAGGATGGGTGATTGGTATTATTTAATTATATTGATAATATTTAGGATAGTGTGGTTAGGTTAAAGTTAGTTATAAAAAAGTTGTTGGGTTAAAAGTGATTGGATATTTTTAGGCAATTCCATATCCATTCAACACTTCTGAGTACATTAAAGAAAAAAAAAAAAAAAATCAGGTACCTGGGTGTAAATCATGATTGATGACAAAATAAAATCTAGAAGAAGTATATCATTTACCTGGGTGCAAAATGGAATGATTCTCCCCATCCATACTCATAGAAACTTGTGACCAAATCATAGTACTTATTGACCTGTTTAAGTTTTCATAACATTTCAGAAATAACGTAAGAGCATAAGATACATAGAAATGAGATCACAATTCTCATATTTTAACCGCATGGAAAAAGAACTGATTAGACACGTATAAATCTTGTCCGCAGAAGATTGGAATAATTCATGGAAATTCCATTTTACTTTAAAGGCTACTGCTATTACATTTACAACACACTCCAGAAACATGAGTTAACGTAAAACAGAGTATTGTACTGACCAGAAAAAAAATAAAAATGAGTATTCAACTATCCATCTCATATTTTGCAGGATCAACGATTTAAAACCATCTTTCAAGTCTTTTTCACTCATGTTTAATGCACTGAATTAATTATAGAAGGCGACTCGAAGTATTTTGCACTAGTAACGGGCCAAAAATCAGAGTAAAAGGGCACTAAAAAAGTCTTGATCTATCATGCCAAAACTTCAAGGAGATTCAAACAAAGTATAGACTGAGATTTCTCAACACTTGATATTGAACGTAATAAATAATTTTTATAAGCCAGGATACAAAAAGACCAGACGAAGTGAAAACCTTGCACATGAATAAAGTTCTCACCATGTCGGTATAGTTAGCTTTTCTTTCTTCCTCTTCACCCCCAAAGCATACATGATACTTCTCATACCTAATCACAGAACAAGACTGACAGGCTCAGTATAACATAAAACATACTACACCTTGGAAAAGACAAGAAAAATGCAGCAGAAAGAAATTTCAGAATCAGAATGGTTCCGAAATCATTCTTGCTTTGTTGGGAACTCTAATATGCTATAACAAGCAAGAATTTATTTTTATCACTGATATCACATCAGTAGTCCATGTGAAGAATTCATTTTCATAAACATGAAAGGGAATGTAGTTATTTTAATTTATTTCTCCATATCAAAATATGTCCACAGAGTATTTGTTGATGAAATATCTTACACAATCAACTGGGAACTTCACTTTCACGCAGTTTACTAGTTTCGGGTGATAAGCCAACATTAATGAGTTCTCACTTAGTAAATTTTTATAAGATGAAAAATATATCAATCCAGATCAATGATATGAATAATTTTCACACAGGCAGTGTAGCAAGACATAATTACACGGTGGAAGTTGGGGAAAGATTCAACAAAAAGGGACAGACGGAGAATATCACATCATAATTTTTTTAGTTAAAAAAAGAAATTCAGGTAGCAAAAACCATTTATAAGTAAGAAAAAGCACACAGACGGAGAAAGTTAGGAAGGATGAAGATTTGAGTTTAACAATAATAGAATTACTTATCAACGGCAGAGAGAACTTGTTCCTTGTCAATCTTTCCGCCAACCCCAGATGCCAGATCCAGTGTTCCCGCCTGAGACATCTTCCTACTTACTTTTTCTCTCTACAAATTAAAAATTTTCGAGATCTGATACGAAAAAATGAAAACAAATGAGAACAACACACACATACATATATACAATAACGAGAGAAGCTTTAAGAATGCAGGAAAAGTTGGTCGCACCAAAAGGGCCTACAGGGATCTGAAGACCCTTTCGAGAGACCTGGCAATTGGAATCAAAGAAAAACCCTGATCAAATGTTGAAGAGGTTGAGAGTCGTCTGAATACTGAATTACTTGAATGTCGAAAGAGAAGAAAGAAAAAGGTGACAGACAAATGAGAGTTTCTTTTTCCTCTGTGGTTTTAGCTGTTTCATAAACGACAGATATTCGAGTCGCGCCAGGTCAGAGGCTACACGTGCTCTTCCACATGCTCTCCACTCCAATCGTTTTATTATTCATACCGTGGTTTTTAAACCCGGGCCCGATAATCGACCCTTACAGGTTTCCGGGTTACAGGATTACTGGTTTAATCACCAGGTCATTGAGTCAATTGCTGAATCGGATAATTAATTTTAAAATTTTTAGAATTATATAGAATATTTTGTTATATAAATATACATAAAAATAACAAAATTAAATGTTTTGTATGTAAAATTTATAAATTAAAGTGATTATAATATGAATTTCATGATAAATATTTACCACATATATATGTATAGTTTTATTTTTTAAAAAAAAATTAAAAAATATATATAGGGACCGGGTCAACCAGGTTGACCCAGCCGGGTCAATGCCCCGGGTCAAGGCCGGGTTGGCCGGGTTTTGACCGGGTCCTTTGTTGCCCGGTCCAAATAGCCTACTCGGACCGGTTTCGGCTCCGGGTCCTTTGAAAAACACTGATTCACACTAGTTTGTTTCTCGGCTGTGTTGTGGCCCAATTTGAGGGTATATTTTGTTTTTAATTAAGAACTTTTTATGTACTGTATAATTTGTAGTTGTCTGCATTTAATTGGATGAATAATAAGCTATTGTTACATGTATGTGTTATAACAACTACATGTTAGATCTATTTGGGATTAAATATGTGTAATTAATACATTGGGTCATTATATTGTTTAGCCAAATAAAGTGATAAAATTATTGTACATTGGCTAAGGAACTTAATTTGGATTGTGGAATGATTAAATGTGGACACCCGGTAATATTATTATTTGTTGACATAGCAAATAATAATATTAAACTAAAGGACCTAAATAACATATAATTTGGGTCAAAATTATTTATGGGTGGAGTCCCAAAAACCGTAAAAATAAAGGGGCATTTATAAAATATTGTTTTCTTTCTTCAATTATCAGGTGCATTTATTGCGGCTTATTAATTGAAAAAGAAAAACATCAAGTGCATTAATTGATTACAAATCAATTGCCCAACATTTTGTCTATATAAGACAATTCATTTCTTTCTTCATACGTCGAGAAGAAAATTAAGGAAAATAAGGAAAAATAAAGTTCACGGTCTTGTGGAAGATTTCTAAATCCCAAATTAATTTTAAGTTCTAAAGGTATCAATCAACATGAATCCATCAGGTATGCTTCCGCTATTCAGTTATGATTCTCGATTATTCAATATGAATGCTCCTGGGATTAATCGATTTATTTCAAATAAAGACATGTTCACAGCATCAAGGCTGAAGTTGAAAATCAACTCAGCAAAAGCATTAAGATCGTCATATCTGACCATGGAGGTAAATATTACGGCAGAAATGATAGATCTGGTGAACAACGTCTGGGCCTATTTGCTGACTTCCTTAAGGAGTGTGGAATAGTTCCTCAGTATACTATGCCAGTTTCGCCTAGCATGAATGGTGTAGCTGAGAGACGAAATCACACATTAAAGGATATGGTTTGAAGTATGATTTGTCAATCTACTTTACCATGATCTTTGTGGGGGGGGAAGCACTAAAGGTTGCAGTCTATCCTAAATCGAGTATCAATTAAGGCGACTGCTAAAACACCCTATGAATTTTGTACTGGGCGGAAGCTTAGCTTACGGCATTTTAGGTGTGAGGTTGTCTAGTTGAGGTGAGGCCTTACGGGCCAAATGAACCAAAGCTAACACCTTATACGGTGAGCAGTCATTTCATTGGTTACTCGAAACGGTCGAAGGGGTATAAATTTATGATCCCACTTCAAGAAATATATTTTTTTTAGACGGACACTGCCACGTTCTTTGAGAATATTGAGTTTGGGAGGGGGGAGAAATACAATTTCGGACTTTACTTTTTAGGATCAAGAAATCACCAAAGTGGTTAATCCGATATCTCAAGAGGAAATAGTCATTCCAGCTCCCATACAATTTCAAGATACAATTGAGGAGACAGTTCATTTTGAACCTGATCCTCAACATGTACCTATAGAACAAACTCAACAAACTCAAGAACATACAGTTCAAGAGCCAATGCTTTTGCGAAGATCCACTAGAGAACGTAGAAATGCCATTCCGGATGATTATTTGGTAGGTCAAGAAAATGAGGATGTGGGTAACTTGAATGAGGATGATCCGATCAATCTCAAACAAGTCATGAAGGATCCCAACTCATATAAATGGATCGAAGCGATGCGTGAAGAGTATAAGTCAATGCAAGACAATAAGGTTTGGGAACTTGTCCCATTGCCAGAAGGTGCAAAACCCGTTGGTTGTAAATGGCTTTCTAATACCAAACGGGATGCAAATGGTAATGTGGAAAGGTATAAAGCACGTCTTGTGGCTAAAGGATATACTCAAAGGGAAGGGATTGACTATAAAGAGACCTTTTCTCCGGTATCATCGAAGGACTCTTTTAGAACAATCATGGCTCTAGTGGCACATTTTGATTTGGAGTTACATCAGATGGATGTAAAGACGGCGTTCTCAATGGTGACATTGATGAGACGATCTATATGGTAAAAACATAAAGCTTTGAGGTCGATGACCCGAAGAAAATGGTTTGTAAATTAAGAAAATCCATCTAAGGGTTCAAACAAGCGTCTCGATAGTGGTATCACAAATTTCATCAAATAATTATCTCATATGGTTTTGAGATGAACATTGTTGATGATTGTGTTTATCACAAGTCCAGTGGGAGTAAATTTATTTTTCTGGTTTTGTATGTGAATGACATTCTGCTTGCTACAAACGATATGTGATTGTTGCACGAAACTAAGAAATTTCTTTCGAATAATTTCGAGATGAAAGATCTTGGTGAAGCGTCTTTTGTATTAGGAATCCAGATACATCGAGAGCGATCTCGAGGTATTTTAGGGTTATCACAAAAGAGCTATATAGATAAAATGCTTGAGAGTTTTGGCATGCAAAATAGCAAACCAGGAAATACCCCTGTGGCTAAAGGTGATAAATTTAGCCTAAGTCAATGCCCAAAGGGAAATTTGGAAATCCAGGAAATGCAAAAGGTCCCTTATGCATCGGCAGTTGGGAGCCTAATGTATGCTCAAGTATGTAAGCGTTCGGATATTGCGTACATAGTTGGTGTGTTAGGTAGATACTTGAGTAATCCTGGATTGAATCACTGGAAAGCAGCCAAAAGGGTGATGAGATACCTTAAGAGAACTAAAGATTATATGCTCACATATAGGAGATCAGACCATTTGGAGATCGTTGGATATTCTGACTCCGATTTTGTGAGGTGCCAAGACAGTAGGAAATCTACGTCTGGGTACTTATTTATGTTGGCTGGTGGTGCCATTTCCTGGCGTAGTGCTAAACAAACACTTGTTACCACTTCCACTATGGAAGCTGAGTTTGTGGCGTGTTTTGAGGCATCAAACCAGGGAATATGGTTAAGGAATTATGTCACAAGGCTGCGAATTATTCCAGAGGTTGAAAGACCCATCAAGATCTTTTGTGACAATAAACCAGCCGTTCTGTACTCCAACAACAATAGGAGCTCGTCTAAGTCAAAGCATATTGACATTAAGTTCCTAGCTGTGAAGGAGAGGGTACAAAGTGGTCATATTTCCATCGAACACTTAAGGACAAAATCTATGTTAGAAGATCCCCTAACTAAAGGTGTAAAACCTATGGTATTCTACGAGCATACTGCTCATATGGGTGTGTTACACATTCAGGAAGCTTCACTCTAGTGGGAGTATTTGCTACATATTTTTGTCATTTTTTTCGATGATATATAAAGTACTTATTCTGATCAGAAATAAAGTTTTGGTTCATGACACTTTGTACATTATGTTATGGTAATTAACGATCTCATTAAGGTTGGACTAGTTGAAAATTGACATGTGCTGATCACATTCATGTAATTTTCATGCCACATGTTCCACAATCTGATCTATGTCATTTAATCATGGTGATATATGTGATTATTGATAGTTTAGCTATTTCTATATGGCGAAAACTTTAGTCCCATATTGTTGTGATTAATGGACCAGATTGTTTAAGTTCTGTAATAATGACCATATTTTGAGCTCATAAGGTATAATGTATTATCAGGACACATATTTAATCCAGTGGGAGATTGTTAGATCTATTTGGGATTAAATATGTGTAATTAATACATTGGGTCATTTTATTGTTTAGCCAAATAAAGTGATAAAATTATTGTACATTGGCTAAGGAACTTAATTTGGATTGTGGAATGATTAAATGTGGACACCCGGTAATATTATTATTTGGTGACGTAGCAAATGATAATATTAAACTAAAGGTCCTAAATAACATATAATTTGGGTCAAAATTATTTATGGGTGGAGTCCCCAAAAGCCGTGAAAATAAAGAGGCATTTATAAAATATTGTTTTCTTTCTTCAATTATCAGGTGCATTTAGTGCGGCTTATCAATTACAGAAGAAAAACATCAAGTGCATTAATAGATTACAAATCAATTGCCCAACATTTTGTCTATATAAGACAATTCATTTCTTTCTTCATACGTCGAGAAGAAAATTAAGGAAAATAAGAAAAAATAAAGTTCACGGTCTTTTGGAAGATTTCTAAATTCCAAATTAAATTTTAAGTTCTAAAGGTATCAATCAACATGAATCCATCAGGTACGCTTCCGCTATTCAGTTATGATTCTCGATTATTTAATATGAATGCTATTGGGATTAATCGATTTATTTCAAATAAAGTTAAATCCAATTTTAACACTACAATCATGCGCGGTAAAATTTGTTCTATTTTTTTCTTCTGCCATGGCCGGTGGTGACGGTTATGGTGCCAGTGTCATTGTATGACAAAGTTAGGCTTTGCTACTTTTTTCATCTACATCTTATATAAAGAATTTATCTCATTACCTCTACTTATTTTGTTTCGTTTTCCGTGTTTTTCTTTTGTTTCAGAAAACTTTAATTATTAAAATTCTTATTGCCTTGTCTGTAAGATTATTTTGGTATTCATCCAGCCCAATTTATAAATACGTTATGTTGGTAAATGTAAATCCATCTTCCTGCAAGACTTTTATACCTTGAAGGGAAAAGAAATTTGTTGCATTTAGTCAAATGCGCCAGGCCATCCACGCTCCATATTTTATTTTTGTAACATAACTTAGCAACAAATGTATTTATAGAAAACCGAAACAGTACAAATCTTCTTTCCAGAAAGATAAAGAAACTAATTATCGTACTTCGATTGTTGGATGGTTTCTCTTGTGTTTATACTTTTATTGGTTGCTTAATATTGAGATGTTTGATGTAATTCTTCTATATTGTACTAAAAATTTAGTTTTGCTGTGAAAAAATAATTCAAAATTTAGAAGATCAAATCAATCGAATAAGCTTTGCCTACAAACAAGAAAATAAAACCTTGTAATACAACTACTTAAGTATATTTTGAAAAGGAAATTTTTTTTATGCACCCACTCCGCCACTCCTACATGGGGTAAATAGGTGAGCTATAACAACTCAATATGCACCCACTTTTAAATTCGACTTCATTGAGCTATAGCCTTTGTTATAAGCATCAGTTACCTGATTTTGTTTTTAAAAATGGCGAGATCAACAAAATAATTCAA